AAAATTTTGGCCGGCGTGTTCGACGACCGGCCGAAAACAATTTGCGGCCGAGGCGCCGCCGGGCCGAAAGAAATTTTCGGCTAGGCGTCGCACCGCCCGAAAATTTCTTTCGGCTCGGCGGCGTTCCAGCCACAATTTTTTTTCGGGCCACCGTGTTTTTCGCCGGAAAACTGGAAAACTTGCCGGAAAACTGGAAAACTTACCGGAAAGGTATGAAAATTTACAAATGTTGTTTAAATTTTAGTAAAATGTTATTTATTTCAACATATGTCTTGTTTTTTTCACGATATTTGTTGAAATAGGCTAAAAATGTTATAAACAAACGCATCCATCATATGTTATTCTATTAAAATTGTACACAAGAAAAAGGATTACGTGAATCATTACTATATTCAATTTATGTCTAAACTTTAAGTCGGAGAATGCATTAGATTAGGGAGATCATGAGAGAAAAACATGGCGAAATATCTTAATTTTCTCATAAGTATATGACTATATACTGCATAAATATTTTTTAGATCCGAACTCATACTAATAGTTGGAACACGGGTTGGGTCGGGTTCTACGGGTTGTGTAATCCAAAATCCAAACCCAACCCAAAAGAGGCGGGTTGTACAAAAGAAAACCCTCACTCAACCCAAAACCTTCGTTTTAGCGATAAATACGGTTGGGTTGGTTCGGGTTGGACGGGTGGGTCGGTTTGCGGGTGTGTTTGTTCACCCCTAGTTAATGGTATCCGAATTTATAGAATGAAAGGAAGGGAAAATTCAAAATTTGAATTCTATTTTATTTTAGTTGGCGGCAAATAGCAATTTGGTTGGCGGCAAATAGCCGTTCACATAAACAACAGGAGTAAATAGTAGCCAAAATATTTATCACAACAACAATGGTTGTCCACGAAAAGTTGCTATTCGCGGCGTTTTCGTTGGCAAAGGTGGTAGTAGCTTTAGCGATCGATCAGCCTGATAATTTCACCGACAAGTTCACGGTTCATGTTATCAACAACGTAAGCCACAAAATACTGATAGTGCATTGTCGATCCAAAGACGACGATCTCGGTGCCCATTGTCGATCCAAAATATTTATCAATACAATATATGTATAAAGGTTCATCAATTAAGTTATATCTCTCAAAAAAATGCTCTGTACGAACAGCTCGGTGCAAGTAGCTCCGGCGACCGTTTCCATCCCATCAGGACGGCCACCGGATGATCCAGCTTCAGATACCGGTCCCCTGCCATTGCCTGGGGAGATGAAAATGTTGAACAAATCCACTGGGGATGAAGCGATTGCGGACATGGTGGTGGACGAGACACAGACAGCTGCTAACCAAACGGAGGAGGCTCTGACGACAAGGATGGAGACTGTCATGGGCACAGATCCAAGCAAATCTCTTACCTCAATCGGAGCCGGGATTTCGAACTCCCCTGACAGCAACTCCCAATCCTCTCAACCGATCTCCTATGCTGGGGTGCTAACAGGGGGAAGAAATCCGACCAAACCCTCTGCGGTTCAACGGGTTCCGGTTGGGGAGCATGATCTGATCACTGGATCTTTTCAAGGAGAGCCAGAGTTAAGGATTTCGGAGAAATTCAAATATCAACTCAGTAAGCCCTGGCAAAGAACCCTTGTCGTGCGTCTGCTAGGAAGAACCATTGGCTATGCAACTCTGTGCAACAGGCTCCATGCCCTCTGGCGACCTTCTAATGCTTTGGAAATTTTTGCCTTGGACGAGGAGTGTTTTCTGGTCAAGCTAGGAAACGTAATAGATTTGATGAACGCGGAATATAGAATGACGCAAACACACGATATTTACGTGGTTTCCTCGTTCGATTTGAACGAGACTACTCCATGGTGAGCTCAACCGAGCTCACGGACTACTGATTTATTATGATGAACAGACTGACTTGCTTAGCTTTACATTCACCCGCTAAGCATATATATAGGGCCAAGACATTAACCCCTTATACAAAGAATGAAAGGAATAAGGGAACTATAAAGGAATAACGACATTCCTTTTTTGACAAGAACTGGACATTCCTTCTTTAACAAGAACTGGAACTCGCGGGTGTGGACGTCACCACGCGGAAACTTGGACAGCACGTAATACTCCCCCTCAAGCGAAGGTATGGATGTCAAGCATACCGAGCTTGGAAAGAAGATGTTGAAACTGATCCACGCCCAAGCCTTTGGTGAAGATATCGTCAGGTTGCTCTTGGGTAGCTATTTTGGACGGAGTGACCTCAACAGACAGAACACGCTCACGAACAAAATAACAATCCATCTCTACATGTTTGGTGCGCTCATGGAAGACCGGGTTTGCAGAAATGTGCACAGCAGCTTGACTATCACAATACAATGGAGTAGCAGAAGATAGAGGATGACCCAGCTCAGTAAGTAACCAACGGAGCCAAACGAGCTCACTGACTGTGGTGGCCATGGCACGATACTCAGCCTCCGCTGAGGAGCTAGCAACAACTGTCTGCTTCTTTGTACGCCAAGAAATGGGGGCGCCACCAAGACGTATGAAATACCCCTAGTAGACCGACGAGTGAGGGGACAACCTCCCCAATCGGCATCACAGAAGGCCGTGAGAACAAGTGGTGTCTCTGCCGGGAAAAACAGACCTCGACCAGGAGACTGCTTAAGGTAACGCAGAACACGTGCTGCAGCATCGACATGAGCTTGTGTGGGGGCATGAACAGCTTGACTTAAGATGTTGACAGCATACTGAATGTCAGGACGCGTGACTGTGAGGTAGAGAAGGCGTCCAACAAGACGACGATAACTGGAGGGATCAGCTACAGGAGCAGAAGGTTGACGACCTAACTGATGGTTCTGTTCAATGGGAGTGGAGCAGGGCCTCGTCCCAATGAGACCACTGTCAGAGAGTATGTCGAGTACATACTTTCGCTGGTTGAGCACCACACCTTTCTGCGAACGAGCGACCTCAATGCCAAGGAAGTACTTCAGAGTACCTAAGTCCTTGATTGTGAACTGAGAGTGAAGGGAATCCTTGACCTGCTGGATGAACTGTGAATCATTACCTGCTAGAATGACATCGTCGACATAGATCAAGGCAGCTACGAAACTGGTACCAGAATGACGAATAAAAAGAGAGTGGTCGGCACGACTTTGGACAAAACCAAGCTCAAGTAGTGCCCGGGAGAACTTCTGGTACCAGTTGCGGGAAGCTTGCTTCAACCCATAGATCGACTTATGTAGACGACAAACGCGAGTGTCACCGGGAGCAGCAAAACCGTGAGGCACTCGCATATAAACCTCTTCATCCAAGTCGCCATGCAAAAATGCATTATTGACGTCCAATTGGTGAAGAAACCAACCCTGACTGACGGCCAAGGCAATCAAGCAGCGGACTGTGACAAGCTTTGCAACGGGGGCATACGTATCATGATAGTCTATTCCTTCGATCTGCGTAAAACCCTTAGCAACCAATCGAGCTTTATATCGTTCGATCGAGACATCGGGCTGATATTTTATCTTGTATACCCACTTGCAATCGATGACATGCTTGCCAGGAGGTAAAACACGAGGGACCAAGTCCCATTCTCTTCGAGAGCGAGTACCTCTCGTTGCATGGCGTCGCGCCAGTGCTGAAACTTGACTGCTTGATGAAATGACCTCGGCTCAAAACCATCTGAAACTGATGCAATGAACGCCTTGTGCTCCGGTGAGAGGCGATCATAAGTGACATAGTTGCTGATTGGATAGACTGCATGATTTGATTCTGCACGATGACCTGGAAGCTCAACTTCATAATCGTTGAGACGGACTGGACGAGTGACGTGCCGATTGCTGTGTCGTGGAGGAGCTGGCGGGGGTGTCACCACTGTTTCAGCTGGTTGCACAGGAAAAACGTGATCATCCTCCAAGGAAGATGGGGTGGTGCTTGATAGAGGAGCGGGTGGGGACGAGCTTGACGCTCCCCCTGGCGACGAGCTTGAGGGACTTACTTCTGCGGCCTCGACGTGTGACGGGGTCGAGGGACTAGGGACTTCGGCCTCGACCAAAGATGAGGACTGATTTTCTTTGGTGGGCAATGAGTCAGCATCCAGTGAGCTGGCTACATCATCAACTAGCTTGAAGAGATCATCATCGGACTGAGATGGATCATCCACGTCGACGGGGAGGGAAGGTGACGGAACATCGGACTGTGCAGGCGATGACTGAACCCGCTTGAAAGGGAAAATCTCCTCTAGGAAAAACACATCTCGTGAGGTGTAGATGACTTGTTGACCGATGTCATAGACTCGATACCCTCGCTGATTCGCAGGATACCCGACAAAAATACCAGCCCTCCCTCTTGCATCGAACTTAGTAAGACCAGCACGTGTATCTTTAGCATACACAAGACAACCAAAACTGCGTATACGAGTATAGTCGGGCACTTGACCAAGCAGAATTTCATAGGGAGTACGATTCTGTATGGGAACCAGTGGCATTCGGTTAATCAAATAGGCTGCAGTAAGCACACACTCCCCCCAAAAGTGAATAGGGAGACCAGAATGGAAACGTAGAGCTCGTGCAGTATCCAATAGATGACGGTGCTTGCGCTCCACAACGTCGTTCTGTTGTGGCGTATTGGTACAACTCGTTTGGACCACAATTCCTTCGGCTTCATAGTAGTTGCGCAGCTCTGCGACTGTGAACTCGCGACCATTGTCGCATTGGATACGCTTGACTTTTCCATCATACTGCGTCCGTACTTGATTAAGAAACAACAGCAAGTGACGTGCAACTTCGGACTTCTGCTTTAACAAAAACACCCAGACTGCGCGACTAAAATCATCGACAATAGTTAAGAAATAATGTGCTCCACTGAATGAGGCTTGTTGATAACCGCCCCAAATATCGATGTGTATGAGTTCAAAACACGACTTAGTCTTTATCGAACTAACAGAAAATGGCAAACGAGTTTGCTTCACCCGTAAACATGACAAACACGGGTCTTTATTGACTACCAAAGGACTAGAAAAATGACGCTGCAATGCTGAAAGCTTTGCCGACGAGGGATGACCGAGCCTAGCATGCCACAACTGAGAATCTCGAACTGCTTGCTTCGCCGCGAACGCCACTGGATGACCATCATCGAAAACCCCGCAAGTAGTAGAGACCATCAACGTGCTTACCCATCCCAATCATTCTCCTGGAGTGTAAGTCCTGGAGCACACAGAAATTCCTCATAAAAATCACGACAACAGAGTGATCGGCCGTGAGACGACTGACGGATAAGAGATTGCACTGAAAATCAGGCACATATAAGACACGATTCAACGTTAGACCATTCGACAGCCTCGACACCCCAATTCCGCGAACTGGTATCCCTGTACCATTTGGGATTTTAACCTGCAAAGTGGAAATTGTCTCCAACTCACCATGCAACAACGATGAACTCTTAGCAATATGTTCGTTACAACCAGAGTCAATAACCCACACTTCGGAGGAATCGGTGAGAATATTACCTGACATGTTCGCTTTTGGTTGTGCAGGTGCGGACTTTACTTCAGTTGGTTTGGGATCGGAATTGAGAAAGGCCTTGAGTTGAGCTACTTGATCTGCCGACAAACCAGGGATCATGACTACAGCTCCCTCAACCACGGCTGCCTGTGGAGTCCCACGCCCTTGACGTGCCCTTGGACGACGAGGTTTTTTATTTTCTCCCCAGAGCGTGCAGGCCAGCCGATGATATCGTAACAAGTAGCACGAAAATGCCCCGTCTTCCCACAATGGGTGCACAGGGGACGACCATCAGAGGTCCTTTCGTCTTGACGAGATTTCTCCCCTGGCCATGAAAGGCAGCAGCTTCTCCGCGAGGACGGTGATCATGAGTGATACTCCTTTGTTGTTCTTCGTTTGCCACCGCATGATAGGCCTCGCCCAAGCTTGGTGCTGGTTTCAGAGAAAGCAGATGAGTACGTACAGCCGAGAAATCATCATCAAGTCCAACTAAAAAAATCAAGAAGGCGCATGGCTTCATGTGAGTCTCGAGTGCGCTGTTCCACATTGCAAGTACATTGACCACAGGTGCACTTGGCTGGTGGATCCAGCATAAGCCAATCATCCCAAAGATGTTTCAGTTTGGAATAGAAGGTTGAGACACTCGAGCGATCCTGACGCAGACTAGTGAGTTGGCGACGAATTTTGTAGCGGCGAGGAAGACTCCCCGTGCTGAAGCGCTCGCTCAATTCGTCCCAAATTTGTTGGGCAGTGAAGCCCGAACTAAGACTGGTGCAGATTTCCTTTGACATGGCACTGCGGAGCCAGCCGACAACCATGGCGTTGCAGCGCACCCAGGCATTGACACGTTCACCATCAACCGGACGTGGAATAGTGTCGAGAACATAACCGAACTTGTTCTTGGAAATAAGTGCATTAGACATCTCAGCTGACCATTCACCATAATTCATATCGGTCAGCAATTCACCAACAAACACTTGACTTGGAGCATCCGAAGCGTGGAGAAACAACGGCGAGGTCGGTCCAATAAGATCATCCTTGGAGAGAGACCCCGTCGCCTGGGGTGCTTCAGTTTTCGGATCAAGATCCTTATCACTCATCGCGACAACAGTGGGCAATGAGGAACAACGGAGACGAGCTGATCAGAGACGTGACAGCTGCTGACGATGAGAGACGGAAAAACACGAGCAGATCAGAGACGCAGAACCCAAGCGGCGATCTTAACCAGGCTCTGATACCATAATAGATTTGATGAACGCCGAATATAGAATGATGCAAACACACGATATTTACGTGGTTTCCTCGTTCGATTTGAACGAGACTACTCCACGGTGAGCTCAACCGAGCTCACGGACTACTGATTTATTATGATGAGCAGACTGACTTGCTTAGCTTTACATTCACCCGCTAAGCATATATATAGGGCCAAGATAGTAACCCCTTATACAAAGACTGAAAGGAATAAGGGAACTATAAAGGAATAACGACATTCCTTTTTTTGACAAGAACTGGACATTCCTTCTTTGACAAGAGCTGGAACTCGCGGGTGTGGACGTCACCACGCGGAAACTTGGACAGCACATAATAAAACGATGAAGATTACTTTAAGGCGCTCACGGAGGGCCCCTGGACAATTTTTGAACACTACCTCCTGGTTCAACAATGGACGACGGGTTTTAGGGTTTCCCGGCCTACCGGTGCACTTCTATCACAAAGAACTGCTCTTCATGATGGGCAATCTCCTAGGAAGATCCATCAAACTTGATTATCATACACAACACCAACGGATGGCCATTGAAGTTTATTTATCGAAACCGCTGGTCCCGAGGATCAGATTCGACGGCCGGTGGCAGAAAGTTGAATATGAAAATCTCTCTGTGGTCTGCTTTGAGTGTGGGATAGTGGGTCATACGAATGTCTCTTGCCATACCAGGGACCAGCGCGCGAACGGAGAAACTGATCTTGGTGCCTTGGCAAAGGCGGTGGTTGTGGCCGGCGAGTCCTCGCCGGAGTCCAGTGCCGGCTTCCGACCTTGGATGGTGGTGTCGCGCAAATCACGGCGAAATCAGAAAGATACCGCCACAAAAGGTAAGACAGAGCAGGCTCTGGCGATCACCAACGGACAGAAGAAAGGTGATGAAAGGAAAGAGAGCGAAATTACGGGGAAATCTTCATCACAAAGAATAGGGAACTCACTGCAAAAGCAACGACAACAGACAGGGGAAATACAAGTGGCGAAAGCAGAGGGGAAAGGCAAAGGAAAGTCGAAAGGGAAAGTGATGGAGGCAGTAGGGTTTGCTAAGAAAGGCTTGCTGGGCACAAAGCCCAAATCGGGGGAGGCCTCCTCTAGCGGGCCTAAAAATGGGTCGAATAAGGCTAACATTCAGACTTCCCAAAATTTGAGTCCCCAGCAGTCTGCGAAGGTTTTGAGTGGGCCGACTGGGAAGGTAACGGGCTTGGCTTCTCCAACCGGGCCAGCGACCCAAACCATTGATGGGGAGAACAGAACCAAAATCCACATCGTCGAGACGCTACCGTATCAACTGCCCGCTCCTCGCTTGGTCGATCCAGACACTCCGTCGGCGATCTCCAGGATGAAGTCAAAGAAGGAGCGGCGAGGCGGTGGAACAAAGAAGACGGCGACACCCAGGAAAGGTAACCCGATGTGCCACAACCCGCTGAAGCCGCTGCAAATCTGGTCCCCGGTGAAAGAGAAGAAGGGTCGGAACAAGGAGAAGAGAGTCTCTCTAACCCTGCAACAAATCAAGGAATGGACGGAAACGACTAAGCCGAAGGCAGTGGTAGACATCGAGCCGATGAACAAGGAAGTTATGGATAAGATGGTGGTGGATTCGAGCGGGTTTGTGAGTAGTCAGACCGCTCCTAGTCTTTAATTCCTGGTGTGCTCTTTCCTTAGCGACCTTGTTTTCTTTCTCGTCTTTTTCCTATCTTTTAGTTTTAATGTCTGTCAACGTTAAGTCTGATTTCAAAATTTTTGCCTGGAATGTTGGGGGAGCTGGTAGCAATGCTTTTTCTCGTTCTTTGAAGCTTGCTATTCAGCTCCACAAACTTGATTTCGTTATTCTTATTGAATTGCAAATTAGTGGTGAGAATGCTAATAGAGTTTATGAAAGGCTGGGGTAGCCAGATGTCATCCGGTTTGAGGCTAACGGCAGAAGTGGTGGTATTTGGTTCTTCTGGAATGCCAAGCAGTACGCCATTTCTGTTGTTTCTACGGGTTTCCAGCACCTGACCCTCTCGGTCTCAAAGGGTAATAGTCGCCGTTGGATGCTTACTGCAGTGTATGCCTCACCCCGGCAGCAGCTCCAACAACTCCTTTGGAACTACCTTATAGAGCAGAGTAAGACAATGGACTGCCCCTGGCTCCTATCCGGCAATTTTAATGCTATTCTGTCTCCGCTGGAAACTACATGTCAAGCGACTCCAAGAGTGTTTCGGCTCTGCAGGAGGTTCAATGGATGGCTAAATGTGGCGGAGTTAGTTGACCTGGGGTATTCAGGGCCGAAGCATACTTGGTGCAGGGGTGGCCAGGCGCAGACCTTCAAAGCTAGCAGATTGGATAGGAGTCTTTGTAACATCAAGTGGAATGAATCCTTCCCGAACACGACAGTGGTGCTTTGGCGAGGCTGAGCTCATATCACAATCCAATTCTGACGACGGTGCCGAGTCAGGGAGTTACCCACTCTTCCCCAAGACGCTTCAGATTTGAAGCTGCTTGGCTTACTCACCCTGGTTTCCAAAAAAAATTAAATGAGAAGTGGAGTGGACAGAGTAATAACTTTCCTATGGCTTTGCAAGAGCTCTCGGATAGCTTGAATTCATGGAGCAAACAGGTGTTTGGCAACGTTTTTCAATGCAAGAAACGTTTGGTGGCAAGAATCGAAGGGATTGAGAGGAAGCTAGCCACCTCCTTCCATCCTGGTCTGGCCAAACTTCATACCAAGCTTGAAGCGGAGTTAGACAGGACCCTTGAGCAGGAGGAGTTGTACTGGTACCAAAGGGCTCGAGAAAATTGGGTGAAGTTAGGAGAAAGAAACACAACTTACTTCCACCAAATCGCCAACATTCGTCGCCGGCTGAACAAGATAGAGTGCCTGAAAAAGGAAAATGGGGAATGGGTGCAGGATAGACAGGAGCTTGCTCAGCTTGTGTTTGATTTTTTCTCTAACCTGTACTTGCAGGAGGCGTCTCTTTACACTGATTTCATGCCCAAGGGAGCTTTCCCTCGGCTGAGTCAGGATGATTGGATGTGCTTACTGCGCCCCTTTTCGATCATGGACATTCACCAGGCCATTTTTGATATGAAACCTTTGCAGGCCCCTGATCCGGATGGCTTTCAAGTGAGTTTTTATCAACAGGAGTGGCGGATTGTTGGGAAGGCTCTCACGGATATGGCGTTATCCTTTTTCGAGAATGGAACCTTGCCCGCAGCCATCTCGGAGTCCATTGTGGTGCTCATTCCTAAAGTGGAGAAACCAGAGTTTGTCCACCAACTCCGACCCATTTCTTTGAATAATGTGAGCTTGAAGGCCCTCACTAAGGCTATGACGAGCAGGCTGAAAATGGTCATGAAGAAGCTTATTTCTCCTCGCCAAAGTAGTTTCATTTCGGGGCGGCAAACGGCGGATAATATATTCGTCGTTCCAGAAGTGCTGCACTCTCTAAAGAAGAAAAGAGGGAAAAAGGGTGGTATGGTGATCCTGAGAGATACTCTGATTGAAGTGGGCCTTCCTAGATCATGGATTCGATGCATCATGTTCTGTGTTGAGCAGAATCGTATGAGGATTATTTGGGATGGTGAGCTTACCCAACCCATCACACCCACGAGGGGAGTCAGACAGGGAGATCCTCTTTCCCCATATCTTTTTGTTCTTTGCATGGAGCGCCTTTCTCACAAGTTAGATGAGGCCGTCCGTGCTAAGCTTTGGAAACCCCTAAGTATAGCGCAGGGCGGGCCGGCTCTCACTCGCCTTTTCTTTGCCGATGATCTAATTTTGTTTGCAGGTGCGGAAGGGGCGCAGGTTAGGATCATCCGCCAGTGTCTTGACGAGTTATGTGAGTGCTCGGGGCAGAAAGTGAACTACTCCAAGTCCATGATGTACATCTCGCCCAATATCTGCCCGCTGCGGGCACAGAGATTGAGCGACAGGGCTGCCATTCCCTTGACCAAAGCGTTGGGTCGGTACTTGGGGGTTCAAACCATCCATGGCCGGGTCACCCGGAGCAGATACCAGGAGTTGATTCTGAAGATACAAAGGAAGCTGGCCCCCTGGAAGGCGAAGCGACTATCTTTGGCTGCAAGGCTGACAGTTGCTAGATCTGTATCCTTGGCTATCCCTACGTACACTATGCAAACTGAATTGATTCATGTTAACGTTTGCAACACTATCGACAGGATTAACAGGGATTTCATTTGGGGCAAGGATGAGAACCAGGGGAAGATGCACCTGGTGGCCTGGGAGAAATTAGCAGAGCCGAGAACGCAAGGAGGAGGAGGCCTCCGGGCGCTCCGACAGGCTAACCTTGCCCTTTTAGCTAAAGGAGGATGACGTATTCTGCAAGAAAAAGACACTCTCTGGACTCAAGTCATGAGGGCTAAGTATGGAGGAAAGAGAAAAGATATGAACATCTTCCGGCCTTGTCAGGGAAGTTCTTTTGCTTGGTCGAGTATAAACAAAGCAGCTAGCCTCTTGAAAAAGGGTGTGCATGGAACATTCACAATGGGAAAAGCACTAATTTTTGGTTGGATAATTGGATTCTGCAGGAACCGCTCATTGAGGCTGCAAGTCAACCAGTTCCTGAGGAGGAGCGAGCTCGGACGGTGGGCTCCTATATGGATGTGGACGGTCGTTGGGATATCACTCACCTCTCCCAACGGCTCTCGACAGATATTATTCAGAAGATCACTGCTTTGATGGTTGATCCTCTTTCTCCGGATGCGGACCAGATCTTCTGGAAGGCATCGGCTGATGGTCGCTTCAAGACAAAGACTGCTTACCAGCTGAGTCAGCCCGGGCGAGTAGAGCCGAACGACCAGATCTGGAAGGACATTTGGAAGCTTCCAACTCCAGAACGGGTCAGATGTTTTGCCTGGCTAGTTTTTCTTGGTCGGATTGCTACCAATGTGCTTCGGTTTTGCAGGAGATGCAGTGACTCGCCGGATTGCGACAGGTGTGAGGACACTCCCGAAATGGTGCTTCACGTGTTGCGCGACTGCCCGCCGGCGCGATTTTGTTGGTCTCGATGGGTCCCGACTGACAGACAGACTGAGTTCTTTCACAGAGGTCAAGAGGACTGGCTACGCAGCAATCTCAGTAACGAGGACGTGATGGAATCTGGTTTGGCTTGGAATGAGTTCTTCAGTATTGCTATCTGGCTAATCTGGAAGAACAGGTGTATGGTGTGTTTCAAGGGGGTTAGCAAGGCCTCCACAGCCCCTACTCTAGCTCATTCGATACAACACAAGGCCCTTCTTTGGCACCAGGCGTGGGAGGCTCCCTCCATAAAACCAGGACGGTCAATCTTGCAGGTGGATAGGACTATAGAGCAGATCAGCTGGCAACCCCCTAGCTCAGGGTGGCGTAAGCTGAACATTGACAGAGCCTCCGCTGGAAACCCAGGGACGGCGGGTGCTGGTAGGGTGATCAGGCATGAGCAAGGGAGGTGGATTGCTGGTTTTGTGGCTAAGATTGGAGAAGTGACTGCAGCTTTAGCAGAGCTTTGGGCTTTCTACCATGGTTTGGACCTGGCTTGGAAAGTTGGATGCGACAGCCTGGTGGTTGAGTCTGACTCTCAATTAGCAATCCAGTTGATAAACAACCGGCGGGACCCAGTGCATCCGTATGCCTCGTTGCTTGATGCTATCAGGAGGAAGTTGGCGCAGAGTTGGCTAGTTAGGGTAGTTCATACGTATCGAGAAGGGAATAGAGTCACGGACTGGCTCTCGAAGCACGGTCTCGTCTATCCCTACGGTACGCATGAACTCTCTAATCCGCCGAGGGAGCTGAGTCAGATCCTTAGAGATGATGTAATGGGTATCCCCTTTGAGCGCCAAGTGAGAGCGCCTATTGCTCTGTAATCCTTCCTTCTTGTCTTTCTTGGTCTTGGCCTCCCTTATTGCAAAAAAAAAAAAAAAAATGTATAAAGGTTCATATCATGAATGCACTATAAACAAAAGGAGTAAATATTTATCACAACAACAATGGTTGTCCACGAAAAGTTGCTATTCGCGGCGTTTTCGGTGGCAACGGTGGTAGTAGTTTTAGCGATCGATCAGCCTGATAATTTCAACGACAAGTTGACGGTTCATGTTATCAACAACGTAAGCCACAAAATACTGATAGTGCATTGTCGATCCAAAGACGACGATCTCGGTGCCCATGGACTCGAGATCAGCGCCGGCTTCAGTTGGACGTTCTAGGCAATGGTCAGTACCCTTTTTTGGTGCAATCTCGCGGTTGAAGATAAGCGGATTTCTTTCCAAGCATTCGTGCATGGCAAAACATATGTAGCATACTTGGATGTCCGCGATTCTGGGGTTTACGACGCGGATAATCTCTTTGCTGCATGGAGGCAAATTCGGCTACCATGGGTTTTATACATGATATCGAGCCAGCATATATAGGTGTTGTCACTGGACACAAATAAGTTTTTTTAGAGGGGAATTAAATACTCATATGTACGTTTGCACCAAGAATTGAACCCACTATATATTGAGATTGTTAAAAATTGTTCTCCAATCATACTATTTATTTTATTTTATTTATTAAATAATGTTTGTTTATATTCTGGAAAAGAGGACACGTGGAATTTCAAACTCTGGCTTCGCCACTCTATACATCCATGGATTTTAAGGCTTTCTTCTCCTTTAGTAATAATATTGGGTCAATCAGACGCTATCTCTTCTGCGGAAAAAAAAGTGTATGTTATCACCAATTAAGTATGTGAAAATTAATATTTTTCGAGTACTAGCTAGCTAATTCAACCATTCGAGTTGTTGGGAAAGCTCTAAAATTAAATTTTAGGTGTTGTTTGAATTAAAAGGATCCACCGATTGAAAGTGTGATTATTGCACTTCCGCCACAGGAACCAAAGGAGACCACACCGTTTGGCTCACATTAGAGTGGACTGTGAGCAATTTGTCTGGTGGGAAAAAAGCTGTGGCAATGCAATGGTAGTGGTGGTGGCGCAGTATTATCATTAGTATGAGAACAACAGACCGTCGCCTTCATCTTTGGGTTTCGGTAGTATGAGAAACGATCCTTTCCACGAGCATGTTAGATTTCGAGTCGATTTTAGACACATTCCTAAGTGGTACAATTACAGATTTTATATGATTTTTTCGAAATCCCTTTTTTGTTGGATTTTATGGCAACTAATCATGGGTTCGATAGGAGGCTATTCTCCTCCTATGGTGAATTCTATTAAGTGTAGATTTTGGCGGATTCAAAAAGGGTATCATCATAGATTTCATGCGATTTTCTCGAAAAGTAAGTTTTCTTGAATTTTGAAGGCTACTTATCACAGATTCGGTTTGAGACTATTCTCCATAGATAATAAAGTCTATTAAGTGTCAATTTTGGTGGATTTTTTAGGCCATTTTTCGTAATTTTTAAGTGATTTTTCCGAAATGCCATTTTATTTGATTATGAAGGCTAAACATCACGGATTCAGCCTGAGCCTATATTGCACAAATAATTAAGTCTTTTAAGCACCAATTTAGGCGATTTTTCCGGGTTGATTTTTGGCAAATTCCAAAGGGGTATCATTACTGATTTTAGGCAATTTTTATGAAAGGACATTTTCCTTGGATTTTGAAGGCTACTGATAACGGATTCGGCCTAAGGATATTATCCACCGATGATGAAGTCTATTAAGCGCCAATTTTTGTGGATTTTTGAAGGTATTTTTGTAATTTTTGGGAGTTTTTTTTTAAAGGCAATTTTCCTTGGATTTTGAAGGCTAAAGATCACGAATTCAGCCTGGGGCTATTCTACACAGACAATTAAGTCTATCAAGTACTGATTTGGGAGGATTTTTTTCGAGTCAATTTTTGGCAGATTCCAAATGGGTACCATCACAGATGTCGGGGGATTTTTTCAAAAGGTCATTTTCCTTGAATTTTGAAGGCTACTGATCACGGATTCGGACTGAGACTATTCTCTACTAATGATAAAGTCTATTAAGTGACCATTTAGAGAATTTTTTTAAGGGAATTTTCATAATTTTTGGGTGATTTTTCCGAAAGGCCATTATCTTGGATTATGAAGGCTAAATATCACGAATTCCGCCTGAGCCTATTATGCAAAGATTTCGGGCAATTTTTTTGAAAGGGCATTTCCCTTGGATTTTGAAGGCACTGATTACGGATTTGGCCTGAGGCTATTCTCCACCGATGATGAAGTCTATTAAATACCCATTTCATCGGATTTTTTAGGAGGGCATTTTCGTAAATTTGGGCGATTTTTCAAAAGACCATTGTACATGGATTTTGAAGGCTAAAGATCAAGGATTACTCCTGAGGCTATTATGCACCGATGATTAAGTCTATCAAGCACTAATTTGGAAGGACTTTTTCTAGGTCGATTTTGGACAGATTCCAAATGGGTACCATCACAGATTTCGGACTATTATTTCGGAAGATCATTTTCTTTGATTTTAAAGGCTACTGATCACGGGTTGAACCTACACAATTCTCCACCTACGATGAATTCAATTGCGTGCCAATTTTAGCGGGTTTTTCGGAGATCATATCCATAATTTTAGGCAATTTTTTTGGAAAGGTAATTTTCCATGAATTTGAAGGCTTAAGATCACGGATTCGACCTAAGGCTATTCTGCACCGATGATAAAGTTTATCAAGCACCGACTTGGGAGGATTTTTTCTGGGTCGATTTTTGGCAGAAGGTGTACCATTTTAGATTTTGGGAGATTTTTTCGAAATGTCATTTTCCTTGGAACTAATCACGAATTCGATATGCAGCTATTCTCCACCGATGATGAAATCTATTAAGCGTTGATTTTGGCGGATTTTTCGGAGGACATTTTCATATTTTTTGAGTGATTTTTTTGTGACAAAAAGCTCTCTTGCATTAATCAATAACACAAAGTTACATATGACCTAGCTCCGACCAAAGCCAAGAACGAAAATCAAAAGCATTACAACTCGTAGGAAACAAAGATAGGGCCTTCTTAGCCACCAAATGGGTTACCCTATTGTTCTGCCTACCCACAAACCTAACCCGAATCCTAGGTGATGCTGATAGAAGAAGGCAAATTTCCTCAAAATGCCCCGCCAATAGGATCAAGAATGCCACCTGCATTGACCTTATCATTAGATGTGAATAATGCGTTCCTCCATAGTGACCTGCAGGAGGAAGTCTATATGTGGGTACCTCAAGGATTTGTTGGACCGGGGGACAATAGAGTGTGTCGTCTACGAAAATCTCTTTATGGACTCAAGCAAGCATCGCGAAACTGGTACACGAATTATACACAAGCCCTCATTGGTTTTGGTTTCACTTGCTCACGGGCCGATCACTCACTTTTTGTCTATCAACGTGGTGGTCGGTTCACATTTGCACTCATCTATGTTGATGATATAATACTTGGCAGCGATTATTTGGAAGATATTCAGCAGGTTAAAGTTTTTCTGCACCATCGCTTTATTATCAAAGACCTGGGAACTCTAAAATATTTACTGGGAATCGAGGTCTCATGATCAAAGAAGAGCATTATTCTTAACTAGAGAAAGTACGCATTGGATATTCTTGCGGATACAGGTACTCAAGGAGCATGACCTTGTTCTTTTTCCATGGAGCAGAACCATCACGCAGTCTATTAGAAGGTCTTGCAATAACTGATCCTTTGGCTTTTCGGAAACTCGTGGGCTGGTTATTATATTTAACAGTCACATGACCACATATTATGTATGTAGTGAACATTCTTAGTTAGGCAGTTCACAGCCCGCGCCAGGCACATGTGGAAGCGGCACAGAGGGTTCTTTGTTATTTGAAGAGTGCTCCGAGAAAGGGATTATGTTTTCCCAGCTAACTGCTCTATTGAGTTAGTTGGCTACTGTGATGCAGATTGGGGAGGCTGTCAGCATACTCGACGTTGTACTACAGGTTATTTCATTCAGTTGGGAACGAGCCCCGTGTCTTGGCGCACGAAGAAGCATATAGTAGTAGTGAGGTCTCCTGCAGAGGCAAAGTATAGAGCCATGGCCAGCACAGTAAGCGAAAACGTTTGGTTACGTTGGCTTATCCAGTATGATTGAATAGGTGTGTCGACATATAAAAATTAACTAATTGATGTTAAGTTAATTAATGAATAAACATTAATTAATTAAATTTTATTCATTAATTAAAAAATTAACACAAAATTTGATTCATAAACTTAACAATTTCATGTTTTTTATACTGAACCACTACAAATTTTAATGTTTCTTAATTACATTTATGGTTGTATTACAAATCCAACATTTTTATCTATGCAAATTATCGATCGAGTAATAAAGACAAGTATACTATCGCGCCACATAGATCGTACAAATATAGATTTAATGAATAAAATTAAGGAACTGAAAAAGAAAAAAGTAATTTTGTATAAATTAAATGTAAAGCAATAACTAAACTAGAAAGCAGTCATTATTATAAAAAACTAAACTCGAAAGCAAGTTGGAAAATAACTATAAGAAAATTTGACGAAAAGAAGATATGGGGAAAGACGACCTAGAATTCACTATCTAATTACTTGACTAAACTTGTTTATTAATCAATTTAATTTTTATTCGAATGACTGATGTTACCTCTAAGGTGATAGTTATATCTCTAAATACTCATTATGTACTAAATAGTAATTTACTTGTTTACTCTTGCATAGCCAACTAATTAACTGCCTAATTTAAAAGCTAATAACTCCTATATTTACATATTTTAATAACTTTAAGACAACAAATTTTCTTGTCACATAATAAAGAAGTGTCACTTACAATTTTCGAAGGTGTGTCGGAAGTTCCATATTTTAATTTTTATACCGTCAAAATATAGATCTCTCACACAGATTTCAGACGGAGGTGTGTCGCTTGACACACCTCCCCATAAGGTGGGTCCGCACCTGTAACCAGGTGAGCCTGCATATAGCAGCAAACCTAGTATTTCATGAACGAACAATACATGTCGAGATGGGTTGTTATTTCGTTCGTGAGTCTGTGGCATCGCAGGAAATAGCATCTCGAAAGATAGTAACACTTGATCAGAGAGCATATATATTCAAGAAGGGATTGGGTGCAGATCGCTTCACTTTTCTCTCTTTTCCAAGCCTAGGCTTCATAATCTTCACGCATCTGCTTGAAGGGGAGTGTTGCGGGCGATGCACGTAGATAGTGTTGATGTGACTTGAATCGGACTATCAACCGCTACAACATGGGCTCAATGTTATTTGGGTTCGGGTTCTGGGCCTGGTGTGTAACCGTTTCCTTTGCCAGATTGGATTAGGTTTTTACCCACGT